TCAAATACGATGGATAGTGGCTTAGCACCAGACATCTCTGTTTTGGCACTTGAATCACTCCACTGGTGTTTAAGTATTGTTTCAAGGGTCACTTTTCAACATAGAGATGATGTTTCACGATAGAGATAAATATTAAACCATACAGGTAGTGTTGGAGAAGAAATAAAATTAACATCAGTGAAGCACTTGCTATAGTAAATATTTTGCAGGCTTCCCCTGAACACTGCAGAGCTTTCCAGACAAGCATTCAAATGCATCTGAGATTATTTGCTTTTTATATAGCCACCTCTCTTGTGTTTATTTGATGTGTTTTTTCTGCCTTTTCTCGAGTCCAGATTTTGTGTTTTGTTAACATTACAGACAGTGTTTCCCTGTGTTTTTAAGGAGTGACATGAAAATGTAGTGCTTCTCTCACTTCAACTGGGACATTAGTGACAGCCTTTTGTAGCCAGAGACTTTTGTTTTTTGTTTTTTGAAAGATTTGCTGAGGATTTGGCTGTCAGTCGTGTAACGACTTTAAGCAGATGAGAAAAGCTTTCTGCCACCGCTGGCACATCAACAAGACATAAGAAGTTGAAACAGACTGGCTTTGATTGGAGTTGTTAGTACCAGGCAGGCTCACAAATATGATCATTAGTTCTCTAATTTCACTGGCAAATCTTTCCATAGCATTGGAAGAGCCCCAGAAAGCATGCTGGTGTTTTGTAAATGGGTGAATTTAAAACCTGAGGTTGAGTCCCTGGCACCCATTAAAAAATAGTTTTGTTTTTGATGGAGCGAGTTCTTCACAGCAAAGCCAGATTAGAAAGCAGCCAGGACAATGGTGTGGCTTCCCAAGCCTCCAGTTTAAGTAACAATATTCGCTTTTATATAGCTGACCTCTCAGTCCCTGCTGAAATGATCTCGCTCTTGAATGCCATTAGTGGGAAGGCGATGGCTTTGGATGGTCTTGTTGGTTTGATCACATGCTTTCTGCACCTTTCCGTGCTGAAGAAACAGCCCATTTTAATAGAAATGCCACGACACTTTCTGCTGTCGGCTGGACACGTGCAGAGGTACCTGGGTGCAAACAGGGCGAGGGTACATCACGGGCTGCCGCTTCCTCATCTTCCTGCTCCTGAAGTGCATGGCTTGCTCCTTGGATTTTAGAAGGCAAGTGACACCATTGTGAATGCCAGAAGCACTGGTCCCTTATTTAAAATGTTTTCTTCTACATCTTCTCCTTAACAACTGCAAATAGGCAGTAAGTATAGAGGGGGTTTATAAACTATTGAGGAAGCAGTTGCTAAGATCACCTGCCAGGGGCTGTGGTGGAGACAGGCGGCTGTGCTGCAGCCCTCTTTCTCAGGAGAGTTTCTTCGGTGCCTGCTCTCGTGGAGGCGAGGGAGGTGGAGTCGATGGCTTGGTTTTCAGAGTTGATGAGCAGCTTGGAAGGAGGCAGTGGTTTCTCAGGATTTCTGAGCCTCTGGGCGGGAATTTAGCTGACACCTGTCTCCTGGTCAGCCTTGCAGGACACAGGTCAAGGAAGCAGGGAGCACTTCCCCGTCCCTGGTCTGGCCACTCACCATGTAAAGGTGTGAGGACACAGCGGCAGCTTGGTTCAGATATGAAGCTACGAGCACTCAGGTGGCACACAGTGGCATGTCAGTGTGGAAATGTGGCTACAAACTTGTCCCTCCAGCACAGGCCAGCTAATGCAGAGGTGCAGGGACTCCGATCTGAGCCTCCGGTTCACCTCTCGGAGGAAGCTGTCTCCAAGGACAGAAAGTTGGGCTGGAGTCCTTTGAAAATGTGTCTGTGCCTCTGTATATTTGGAATTGATATCGATATGCAAATTTAAACATTTTGCACTAAAAAGAAGTGCTGAACATTATCCAGCCCAGGGCCCCAAGAAAATGCAACTTTGGGTTGAGAAATTCCATGTTTGGGCAAAAGATGAGCTTTGCAATAATAGATGTAATCCCTGAGGAGGAGGATTTGTGGGCAGAAGGCTGAAGATATAGCTACAGAGCCACAAAGCCTGAAATTTATTACAAGAACATTACTATCATGCATGCGGGGTGTGCTTGTGCATGCATTATACTCACATTAATATGATGAGCACAGGACTTTCTGATATGGCATAACAGGTTTATTGGCTTGAGTTAGGGGAGGAGTATTTTATCTACAAATGAGCAGGTGATATTTTATGAGGGAATTTCTTTTAAGGAAGATCCACATTTGGTGAGCTGGTTCTTTATTAGTGGTGGCAATTTGAGAGGATTTCTAATATTAGAAGTCCCGGGGAGGAATATGTTAATGCCATAATGTTCTTATGCTATGTGAGAGGTTATATTATTGATGTGATACTTTTTTTCATGTGTCCATATAACTTATCACATACATTTCAAATGTTAGCAGTTCTGGAGATTTGCAGCTTCTTCCTGAGAACCAGAAGCAACAGAGGCAGCTCTTGCTGCAAAGACACACGAGATGCAGGCAGCCTACAGAAGAATGTTGTGGGCACTTGGCTGTCTTACTCTGCCTTTCTTTATTTTGAAATTCAGCCCTAAATCTGGAAAAGTTGAACATATTTAACTCTGAGCCTCTACTTTCAGAAGATGGATGGTTTATGAATCAGGACCTTTAAGTATAAAAACTAGTAAATTATGATTAGCGTGGTAGGTTCTCTATTGAAAGAGCACGTTTTCTTGTCCTCTGTCTCTGCACATGGGCACACAGACACACACACACATTTACTTTCCATCTTTATCAGATTGTCATTTCAACCCACTATTGTCATGGGATAGCCTTGGATTTAAGGAGCGGAAGACTTACAGAGACCCTGATAACATCATTATGATCACGGTCAAAAATAATTAAAAATATTTATTTAAAGATGTTAGATTTGTTCTATTTTTGTGGTCAACCTGTCTGTAAGATCCACAAGTATGGGAAAGGAACTATTAGCTGTGGAGAAACATTTCACTAACTGCTAGAAGTTCTTCTTTATGTCAGCTTTTTAAAGGAGGTGCTAACTGCCTAAAATGAGGAACTGCATCTTTTTCTTTTGTCTTTCACAAGTGCTTTGGAATCCCCTAACGTTAACCTTAAATCATTTTAGACCAATTATGTTATGGTCCTGCAGAAGGCAACTTACCTCCTTCATCTCCTGTCATTTCCCCATCTATCAGAGGTGTTTGTTTATACCTGTTTCCTTTGCTAAATACTTAAATGTCTATGAATTAAAAAGCAATATATAAAACCTGGCTATCAAGTAATGTGAAGCTAAGATGCCCTCTTAATGCAGTGATCTTATAGCCTGGAATAATATGACCAATATCGTTTCTGAAGCCTGTTGTATACAGTTAGCACCCTACAGGCAGGTAAGAGAAAAGCTTTTGAACTTACAAAAAGTCATGCCCTTTAATCAGATGCTGCTAATCTTTTGAATTTGCTTTGCCCTGTAGACGACTGAACACACTGAACAAGTGCGCCTCAATGAAACTCGATGTGAACTTCCAAAGAAAAAAGGTAAGGAAACTTCATGAAATGTGCTGGCTTTGCCCTGGCTTTTGTGATAAGACCTCCCCAATTTAGTCTTTAAGTCAGTAATGCTCTTAAAAGTAAGTTAAGTGTATTTGACTTTAAACATGTGTGTCAGCATTATCTGGACACATGATAATGTGAATTGCTGAATCTTGAAATTATAAATAAAATAGAAAAAACCTGTGACTAATACAGCAGGAACAATACTATGTGTGTTAAAAGGGCACACACAGTACTTAAAACTTTACGTATGTGCAACTCAAGTTAGCGGGTGAAAAGAGTGCGGTTTCATTAGGCTGGCTTGTTTGCCAATGCCATGTGAGTACACAATGGAAAATCCTGCTCGGAAAAAATGGAAGCTGCTCAGATGAAAACAATAGCTTTTCTTTATTTCTTGTACTGACTTATCCCGGTTAAGAATATGAAAATAAACTCTGTCATCCTTACAAGTTCCTATGTAAAACAGGAATTATTTGAGCTTAAAGGGTTTCGGCGAGGACTGCAGAAACTGCTTATTGATTTTTAGAATTTTGTAACATGCCTAGTGTTAACTGTTGAACATTTGGTTTTCTGGTCACAGATTCCCCCAAGCCCTTCAGTAGTGTACAATGGTAGTTGTTGGCTCTGAGAAATCTTGGTGTCTGTTTTTCCTTCCTTGGAGTGTTTGTGTAATGCTTTTTAAAAACTACCTCCGAGAGCTGCATTTTTGGTGTCTTTGCAGATTCAGTCTATTCATACTCTATTCACTGTTTGAGGGAACTTGGACAAAGAATGGTTTTAATGTCCAGATATTCTGCCTTCGGCACATGCCCATTTTTTCCTCTGTGTATGTAGCCTCTTTAGCGTGCATTTTGTCCATTCACTGGCGCCGCAGGGACCTCTTCTCTTCACTGCTTCAGACCTGATGGATTTTTCTTGTCTTTGATAAGTGCCAACGCTTCCCACATCAAACACCCACATCACACCTGACAGAAGGAACAGTAAAATCCCCTGACTACATGATAACTTTATGATTTGGGCAGGTAGGCGCTATAAGAAGAGGCTTAGGTCCTTCAGCAAAAACTAACTCAATCGATTGTGTCGTTGACCTGCTTGGAGCGGTGTCTGGTTTGTGTCCATGCACTGGTGCACTTGTGATCACGCAGAGATACTGGAGCTGCACAAGAGACAGAATTACAAAAAGCAACATATAGGTGAACGCTGATTGTCCTCTGGAAGTTTTGTTTAGTTCCTGTTCTTCTCTTCAACAGTATTTTGGGTTTGGTGTGAGGTTTGTATGCTTCCTTGCTTGCTTCTTTAAGTGTCTGATTATGTTGGGTTAAAAAAAGGAGGATTTTCTTGTTATCTTTGTTTTTATTAGTTTTTTCTGCCACTCCTCCCTGTTCTGAATGGATTGAAGCCCTCAGCTGCTCTCCTTGCAGATGACCATTAATTTGCTATGGGAGTGAGACTGCCTTACTTGGTACCCGTTCAGAGGGACAGAAGCTAGTTGGGTCCATACCTGCACGAGGCCAGGCAGAAGCAGAGCACAAAAAAATATAGAGAAAGAGGGGACGAAGGAGATTTGGGATGATGGAGGCAGAGCAAGTGAAAGTAGAAGAGAACGTGGGGGAGAGAAGAGGGAGGAGAGACTGCTGACAGGAGGAAATGTAAATGCAAGTGTAAAAACTGGAAATTGGGTCTGGAATTAAACACTGAACCAACTAAATTTTTTTGCTGTAGCTACTGCCTTTCCTAATAATCTCTATGGTGATCTGAACAATGAAATGCAAGATCAGCTTGCTTTGGAGGTTCAGCATAACAGGTTTGCACAGGACTAGCGCAGCTGCTTGAGTGATTCATCAAAATATGGCCAAGTGAGCTGCCAGGCAAGGTTACTGAGAAAGCCAGCACGGGGTGAGTGTTCCTCACCGCCCGCTCTTCAC